GACGACCGCTTCTCGGACGAGCAGCTGGTGACCATGTCGGTGAGGGAACTCAACCGGCAGCTGCGGGGCGTCAGCAAGGAAGAGGTGATCCGGCTGAAGCAGAAACGACGGACCCTGAAAAACCGGGGCTACGCGCAGTCCTGCCGCTTCAAGCGCGTCCAGCAGCGGCACGTCTTGGAATCCGAGAAGAACCAGTTGCTCCAGCAAGTGGAACATCTGAAGCAGGAAATCTCCAGGCTGGTCCGGGAGAGGGACGCCTACAAGGAAAAATACGAGAAATTGGTCAGCAGCGGGTTCCGGGAAAACGGATCCAGCAGCGACAACCCCTCTTCTCCAGAATTTTTCATGTGAGTCTTCTCTCCCACCCCCCACCCCGCGAGTCAACCCCGTCTCCGACCCGCAACCCCCTTGGCCCTGACAGCCTCTTGCCGCTCTTCAGAGCGCACGCACGCACGCACACACAAACACACACGGGCGAGCAAGCACGTGCACAAAAGTTCTCGGGCTGGAGGGGGGAGGCCAGCGAGTTGGTCGCCGTGTTAATTATTGTTAACTTGGGCCAACCAAATAATTAATAGTTCCTATTCCTCATCATCATCATCATCATCATCATCATCATCATCATCATCATCATCATCATCATCATCATCATCATCATCATCATCATCATCATCATCATCATCATCGTCATCATCATATTCTGTTTAAAGAAAAAGGCAAGTTTTGGTGGTACTTTTTAAGGTGGACTGACTCAGATGTTCAACCTTACCAAGTTTTCGACCCCCCTCTCCCCCGCCCACCCTTTACTTTGTGTGTGTGTGTGTGTGTGTGTTTTTTTGCAATCCAAGTTCCATCAACTCAGTTCTTCATCTGAAATTGGCTCAAACTTAATTTTTTTTTAAGTTTGCTGTATCCAAAACACAAAACACCTTTTTTTTGCCATCCCGAATTCTTCATGTGGGGTTTGAACTTGACATATAGATAGATGCATATGGATGTGTATGTATTCATATGCATATGAATACATACATATTTGGAGAACATTTTACTGAAATATTTAAAGAAAGTTTTAAACTTCAGGTTGCCAAATTTTCATCTGTTGTTGAACTAAACCTAGAGAATATCAACCTGCCCATATGGAACCTTGATCAACTTCTCATGTGTTCATGATGCGATCTTTGGCCTTAAGCTGCCAAACAGTGAGACTGAGTCTGCTTTTAGTACCCCATCCTCATCTCATGCATTATTACGCTTACTAATTTGTCTTACATCAATTAACTGTATAAATATTTCAAAAGACTATGGGGAGAAAAAAAAGACATTATATTGATAAATGCCCTGCATGCTGGACATGTACGGATTTTTTTTTCCTTTTGCTTGGATATGGACTTTGGAGATATATAATGGCATGTCATTCATTCTTTTAGTTGTATTTCTTCACCACTTTTTTGAACTGAAAGCAAAAAAGTGCAACTTTTTGAGTCTTCCTTACCCATTCAAGTTTGCATCTGTTCTGGAAACTGCTTTGAGTGGCCCCCCAAACTTCAGACTTCTTTTTAATGAATTGAAACATCTCTTCTCTCGCTCTCTCTTATATAAAACAAAAACAGAAGAGTGGATTGTGATTACAGTATTACAGGAAAACAAGAACTTTGGAAAGAAGTTTTAAAACTTATGCTAAAAAATTGCTCCAATTTGTTGGATTTTATATGATATTGTTGCTTAAAGCAGTCTAAAATTTATTTTGGAATGATCTGCCCCCTTTTTCCTTTTTTGTTCCTTTTGCATTTGGTCATTGTCAAACGTGCAATGCTATGGGATCCTGGTATATAATTTAATTCAAGCTATTATTGTCTGTTAGTTCAGTTCAAATGTACGCAACAGATAAAGGAATGTTATAGATAATTTCAAAAAGGTTAGGTCTGTTTAGAAGTAGGTCTCTCTTTTTTTAAATGGTGCACTAAATTGTTCACTGTTGTGATGTTAAAAGGGGTAGAATTTAAAGTGGGACTTTTTTTAAAAAAAGTAGCTTATGCAGCATGTGATTGCAACTTAACTATAAGTTGGGTATGTGTAGATCTTGCTATGCCACCAACTGTATTTGGAAACCAAAGTATTAAAAGGGGAGTATCCCTGTTTATATTAATAGGGTTATTTTGTGTTCAAAATGTAACATTGGGGTTTTTTTGCGGGGGGAGGTTTAAATATTAGGCACTGAATTGCACTAAGATATAACCTGAAGCAAAATATAAACCATTGCAAACTTGTCTAGGATGCTAATACCATTTACAAAGATGGCATTACTGCTCAGTTTTTTAAATAATGCAGATTTTTTTACAGTTGTATTGTGGTGCAGAACTGGATTTTCTGTAACTTCACAAATTCTCAAAGTTTTGAAGGCATTAATCAGCAAATTTTATTGTCAGGGACTGATACTCCTGTCTTTTAAAAAAATGGAAAGTAAATACCACAATAAATATAAAAAAATCTTGTCAGTTATTTTTCCCCTTGACATATTTTGCTGTGCAAAATTGTTTTATATCTTAAGTTACCAACTAATCATGTGTGATGTTCCTTATGTGTTTTCCTTTCATTTTTCAACTCTATGGTTATATCAAAAAGGAGGAATAATCTACTATAATAAACTGCATTTTTGATTCTGTACTGAGTTTCATTAGTTTATAGCTTTAAACTATCTATTTAATCATAGTATCTTGGGGGGGCGGATGTTTAGCTAAGTTAATCTGAGCAGATAAGTAACTGTGTGTGTGAGCTGAGATTTGACAAGGTAAAAATAACTGGAAAACCATTTCATTTTCTCACAGGCAGGTAGAAAAGAAAGACTTTTCGGGTTGTCAGTGTTAACTCTTCCAAGTTTTATCATTGTTTTGAAGGAGCCCTGTGAATTTCCTGCCAATTATCATTTCAAGAATAATGATTGAAAATAGTTCATTGAAGTAAAACAACCTCGTTCACTTCCCCAAATAGTTCAGCTCCTTTTTGAAGGAATGGAAGTAGAGAGTTTTGCAGGTTGTTATCACAGACATTGGGTCAAATATGCAGGCGTATAGTAAGAGCTACTACTACAGCTGATGTCTTAGATGGAAGGTACAGGGGTGGAGGATTAAAACTCTGGCTGGTATCCAAAGAACCATGAAACTAATTCTGTGAACCCCAAATTTGGGAAGAGAAAGGCTTAATCCCAACTTCCCTTGAATAATCCCCCCCATGCAATCTTCCTTTGAAACAGGTTGTGTATTCTCCCCACCCCTAACTTGCAGCAAGGTAAGGCCTATTAAAGGCTGGCTGTTTAAAAGTCAAAAATTCCATCAGGCTGGCAGAAGGTCGACCTTTCTAGATCTTAGCCTGTGACTTGTTTCACTTCCATGTTTTGAAAGAAAGCATTGATTTTGTGTCTGGGACCTTTTGCTAGCCAGATTTTGTCCACTGAATTTTTCTCAGAGGAAGGGAGATTTAAAAAAAACAAAAAAACTCAACAGTGCAAGTATATAATATTTAAAAACACAAACAAAACTTGGAAACCTTATTTTCAAGGAGAAGATGAGCAAACTGGGAGTCCTTCATTTTTATATTTTTTTAATCTATGAAATAATTAGAGCAGCAACATTCTTATAACTTGACTTATATTTATAATTTACTTGGAGTGAAGTAAATTCACTTTCCAGATCCCCAGAGAAAGAAGGACAGGAGGAGAGGGGGAAGAAGAGAAAGGGACAGGATTCTTCTTAGGGGTGTAGAATCCAGAGTTTCAAGTCTTTGGCATCCCACTAATGAAAGGCAGGCAGGCAAGGCAATAGAGGGAGAGGAAGAACGAAAGGGAAGGGCAGGTCAGAGAAGTAGGCCGTGTTTTAAATTTACAGCTCAACTTCTAGAGGTTCCAAGTTGCTGCTCTTAAAGCTGTGTTGCGCAAGGTCAAAGGTCACTAAGCTCTGAAACAAAGCAATATCCCCAGTCTGGCACAAAGGTGGGCGACTGCATCTCCTTTCTCATTGCTTTTACTTTATTTTACTTTACTTTACTTTTGCTCTGTGTGCACATGAAACTAGGTTGCCGTCAACCCAGCTGAAAGAAAACCCTGTTTTCCCAAATCAGCATCTACCCTCCTTTGGCTCTAATCCATGTTCATGAGATTGGTAAGCAAGAAAAGTGTCGTAGAGGTGCGGAGGACCATGCCTTTCTGAACCTCATCTTTGACAGTCTGGACCATACTCTTCCTGCTTGGTTTCACACATGTCCTTTAATACTTGACCTTCCAATAGTTCAGACATATTTCCCTTTCCAGCATTCTCCAGACAGGTTAATATGTAATCAATGGGTAAACTGCCTGCCATTGGCCAATCAGAAAATGATTGTCTCCTATAAAGATAGTAAGGCTTTCTCCCTCCCCCCTCCCCATATCTCCCCTCCTCCTCCTCCTCTACTTCATAAGTTTAAACTTCTCCAAAATTGCATGTTTTTTGCTTAGTGGTTGCTCTGGGGTTTTCTTGTTTTTTTCCCAGGGCCAGCAAGCAGAGAAATAAACTTCTTGCTCTGTATTAAGTCCAGCCTTTGCTAAGATTCACTTTGCATAAAGAAATGGTAAATATACAAAAGTTTCCTCTCCCATTCCAGAAGCGCCGTATCTAGTATAAAGAAAGAGCGGAGCGTCTCTACCGAAAACCATGGCTGGCTGTGTTTTGTTTAAAATACAAAGCTGCTTCTGAATATCAAGCTTGCCTTCAGTGCATATATTCCAATTTCTAACCATCAGGCCCCCAAAATGAAAAAAGAAGCAAGCAAGCAAAGAGAAGGGCTTTTTGTCCCTTGGCCTTGAAAACAACCTTGAGTGCAGGGCAAAGTTTTCAAGGAGGGAGAAAAGCAGGAAGAATCTCTCACCCCTCTTTCCTCACATTTCTAAAACAGGACAGGTGATGACACTGATTCGGGGGCATTAGGGTTAGATGTGGGCTGGCAGGATACGGCCATTGGCTCAGAAGTGTGACCTAAAACTCTGCACGCTCCTCAAGCATTGGGGGAAGGGGAGAGGGAAAAAAATTCTGATCAGGGAAGGTCATATAAATCTGTCCTAACCCTTCCCCAGTTCATGTTACTTTGCCAGGAATCCAGCAGCTTGAAAATCAACTCAGTTCTGTAGAAAGGAGGCAGGATACCTCAGCCTTTGATGCTGTTTCATTAATGGTACCATCCTCTCCCTCTGTTTGGCTGCATCCCCTCCCACACCCGTTTTCCTGCTCCGGTTCCTTGCACTGCTCCTAGGCCAAAAAGCCTCAGTCCAGCCTGATCCAGTGCAAGTTTGTTCGGGAGTCCAGGGCCCTAGAAGCAAAATGCAGACAAGCAAAATTTCACTTCACTGAATTAATGTCTCTGCTTTGCCCTGATCAAATGCTTCATTTCCACACTTGCTAACCACATCCTGCACAATGCATGTTTTTATGACTTGCATGCATGCACACAGGGGCACATGTACATTCTTTCTATGGGCCTTTCCTCACAGCTGAATTGAAGGATAATCCACCCATCCTTGGATGGGCAGGAAAATGTGCTGGCATGAAATTTACTACCCTCTTTCCTGTCTTTGTTGCTTC